ACCGTGCCTTGAGGCACTTGACCTGACCTCAGAGGTCACCGGTTGACCTAGAACCTTAAAATCGGGTATCGATCTCTGCGTCTTGTAACGGCGCACACGCTCGTTTTTCCGCGACGCGCTAGCTCAACCTGGGGCGCAACGGCGAGGGGGGTCGTACCCGCCCACCGCCCCCTCGGCCGGCGCGTATGTAGAAAACCTATAGGTCCGGTCCAGCGAGGGTTAAACTGGCCTCTGATGGCCCAGACCGACCTCTAAAAGTCCCACACCGGCCTCTGATAGTCAATCAGCCCAGTTGCAGTGGTCGCTGATATAAAACCTCTTAAAAACGTTATAGGTCTGGCTGAGCCTAGCTAGGCCGTTCATGCTGATTTTTATAGGTATATTGAAAAGACTCGCTTTGCACGTTTCACGCTTGCTCGTAATGAAAAAGTTGCTGGATGCCTCTGGAATTTGCATGGGTGCCAACGGCTGCGGAGGACAGGGGAACGCGTCCATCAGTTTGAGTTTATGGACGGGAGTCTCCCTGAAATTTTAACCAATTTTGTTTTTGTTTTTGTCTCGATTTTTTTAAACTCTGATCATGTTTGCGAAAACGAAGTGGCCGAAATCCGAGGAGAAATCGGATTTTGGGGGTAGGTTAGGTTTTGGACCTCTGGGACCTTGGCCCCCCCCCACTTTCGAAAACGTTCCTACGCCTATGCGCCACTGCCCGTTTCAGTTGTCACCAGAGTGTCGCTGGGGAGACGACCCGACCGAAGTTCTCTCCCCGGCATCGAACGAATATAGCTATAGCCGACAACCACGAGTATCTAGACGGTAGACCCGATTACCAAACGAGAAGCTGAGCTCGAAACCGAGCCAAAACGAACTCTGCAACGCTGTGTTATCGGCCCAGCCGGGCGTGCACGAGTCGCCGTGCAGACAGGGTGCTTGGGCCAGACAGGCGTCGTCCAGGACGCAGCGCGGGTCGGCGGCCGTGTAACCGGGCCGCAGCTCGCAGTGGCAGCTGTAGCTGGGCCGGGTGGCGGCGCTGCGCCTGTAGGTGCCCTTCCTGCGGTCCGCAGGGCGCGCCCAGTCGGCACGGGTCGCGCGGCTGCTGACACAGCGGCCCACAGCCAGCGATAACCGTGGCGGTACGGGACCGCAGCGGCCACCATAACAAGACCGCCACACTCCACACAGGTTAGCCTGCACGCAGCTCAAGTCGTCCAGAGAACGCGGCTGCAAGTTGCAGCGCGTCTGGCAGCTGCAGCTGTCGGCGACGCTACTGCGCTCGGCCCGGTGGCCAACCTGCCGATATTGGAGCGCCTCACCGTCCGCCCACGGGTTCAGAGGCTCGGCACCCACCAGTTGCGGCCGGAGCGAGAGTGCGTTCGCGTCGAGCACGCTGCAGCGGCCGCGCAGGTAGTACAACACGTGATGCTGGTTGTCACCAAAGATGGCCGTGTCAAGCCGCTGGCCCAGGCGCTGCCGCGATTACCGGTGCGCCGAGCCGGCCGAACAAGCACCAGCTAACGCCCACTGCGGCAAGTGGCCTGCAAACTGCGGAATGCACATCCCTCCACTCAACATCTTTTTGAGCATGAAAATCGTCCTTGTCCCAAGTGGCCCCCCCCCCTTCCCATAATGGACAGCTGCATCCGCCAGTTAGTTTTTGCTAATATCATAAAAAGGTAGATATTGGCCAGCCTCTGGCATCAGACACCAGCGCCCAGAAAAGAATGTACTTTAGGGGTCTGAAGCAGAATCAGTTGCAACTCGCAATTGTAATAATTTGGTAAAGCAGAGTCCTGATTGGTTCCAGTCCACTGAAGTTCTACACAGTCAGTCTGCAAGATTTATTTCACAATAATTACCTGTGAATTACACACAACACAAATGCTATAGGCAATGGGTGCCTTAGCACTGAGAATATTACCTTCTGAAGATGGAGAAAAAAGATAAGATATATGTTCTATGCAATTCAGAATCAGTAAAAAAAAAAATCAAGTTAGGAACTGCCCTTGTAAACAGGTACCTATACAATGGCACTTGGCTTGGCAACACAGACTCACAGTTAAACTTGGGTGATAAACAACCTACTTTATTTTCTTATTTTGGATTATTTTGGAGGAGATTTTATATTTTGGTAAAAACTGACCTACATTATTCACACAAAAACCATAGATAGGTATTCATTTCACTGAACATTATCTTCCATGTACAAAGACCCCGTTCAAAGCCAAAAGTTGGGTTTTTGTCCCCCAAACCCAAAAGACTCTGTGCGTAAAAGCAAATCTTGTCACCAACCCCAAAAGCGACTTCTCACTAAGGTAAGGTCAAAAGAGAAATTTGTCCCGAGTTCAAAAATTATTTGTCGCTAAGCCCACAAGCTGCTTTAGTCACTAAAATCCAAAGCTATTTTTCCTCTATGTCCAAAAGCAAATTTTGATCCTAAACTCAAAAGTAACTTGTCGCTATGCCAAAAAGCGGCATTTCCACAAAGTCAATTTTTTTGCTAAGCTGAAAAGCTGCTTCAGCCCCTAAAACCCATCAGCTATTTTTCTGCTATGCCCAAGAGCAAATTTGACTCAAAACCCAAAAGCGAGTAGTCGCTAAGCTCAACAGCGAAATTTATCCAAAGTAAAGAAATTATTTGTCGCTAAGTCAAAAAACTGCCTTAGCCCCTAAAATCCAAAAGCGACTTTTGACCCTAAACCCAAATGTAACTTCTCGCGAACTCAAAAATGACATTTGCTAAATAAAGTCAAAAAAATTATTTGCCGCTAAGCCAAAAAGCTGCTTCAATACCTAAAATCCAAAAGCGACTTTTCCGTTATGCCCAAAAGCAAATTTTGACACTAACCCCAAAACTGACTTGTTGCTAAGTTCAAAGGCGACAATTGCCCAAGTCCATAAAAGCTTGTCGCAAAGTTCAAAGGCTGGCTGCTTTTGACCCCAAAATCCAAGTGACCTTTTTCCATGCTCAAAAGCAAAGTTCATTTTTGTCCTTGTCGCTAAGCCCAAGTGACTTACCTACTGGTGGGTCAAGAACTTACTTTTGGCCCAAGACCAAAAAAGCAAGTTTGTGCGGTAGTAGTATACAGTGGTGGATCCAGCTCAGTTTTTTTTGGGGGGGGGGGCAAACCATAACAATTTATTGATTCTTTCCATGCCTCGTCCATAGGCGTAATGTTAAAGTTATGCCATTTGGGAGGGGAAAATGCCCATTTTGCCCCCCCCCCTCCCTGGATCCACCACTGGTAGTAGGTATAACAGGCATCATGCTTGTTCTTTTTTTGCAACCAAGGGGAGGTGCTGTAGGTTAGGATGTAGGTTGTGGGTTTCAGGTTGTAGGTGGTAGATTTTAGGTTGTAGGTTGTAGATAAGGTTAGGTTAGGTTTAGTTATTTTTGGTTTGGTTAGGCTTGATAAGAAAGCTCTCTGGGTATAGCGCCTCTCCTCGGTTGCAAAAAGGAGTGTGACGCCTGCTTTGCGACTAACGTTTGTGCAATATCAAACACCAAGCATTTCACCTAGATATTAGGTAATTTACAAATGTAATCCTGAGGCTTGATTCAAACGTTAGCAGGCACTAAATCTGGATACGATACCTACTACTAAAGAAAATACATGAATTGCGCCAGGATTTAACAAATTGCAAAAAATGGAACAGCCATTTCGCTCATTTTTGAAGAATAGTCATTCTTACAAGTAAAAAGAATTGTATTTATAGTAAGTTCTTGTTTTACTATTTTCTTGTAATATTCATATCATCCAGATAAATATTCAAATAAATATTTTCGATGTTACCTCTATTATGATAAGTAAAACATTCAAGCCGATAGGTAGGCATTTTCAGGCATTTTATAGGTATTTAGCAACTGCCGAGACCAAAGCGACGCGGGCAACAAAAGAAACCGTGGGGATAACGTCATTTTGAGTCATGAGATAGACATAAATGGTTTTAAGTACAAGGCATCTGCACATTTAACACTCAAAACAATTCAAATTAGCATTTTTATTGATAGACAATTGCCTAGATCTTACCGTCGAAATCGAAGTCGCCCAGCGCGCGAATGGCGGACTGGTAGTTGATAGAGCTGGACACCAGTACTTCTGGATGGGCGTGTTGTCATTTGAAGGTGCCTATTTACTACCTATTTAAAAACGCTAGGTATGAATTTGTTATTTTTCAATCTACCTGCCACCCAAAACCGAAAACATCAAAATATTTGCAATTGTACATGCAAAATACCTACCCATTCCATCATCACAAAGTACCATCTCTTTCATACGTCATCAATATGGCACAGCAGAAAGCTGAAATGCCCGGCGGATTTGTGTGAACGCGAGGGAAGTCACGTGACCTTGAGTCACACTCTTTATGGCAAAATCCAGTAAAAAGGGGCCCATCTGATATTTATACAGACGTTATATTACGACATAAGGAAGGCGTTGTGATGCTCAGCATAGTGGTGCCCGATTTTCGGGCACCACTATGCAAACGGGCACCACTTCGCGTAGGTGTATCGGACAAAGGGCACCACTACGCTGGTCTTACAAACGCACACGGTCAGCTGACGGTCCGAGCGCACAGTCAGAACACAGTCAGAACACAGTCAGCACACACACAGTCAGCTGACGGTCGGAGCACACAGTCAGAACACGGCTGCACATACTGACAGGTGAGAGCCAATTAAAAAACATACACAATTTCGGAAACTGAAAACCGTCAACAAATCACCCAAAATTTGAGCGAGGCGAGTTGACAGCCTGATACGTTTATCTAATTCGTCACCTGCGGAAGCAGTGCTACGCAGCCAACAATCGTCCTAGTCCATCCGTCCGTGGGGCCCTCCCACACCTGTACATACGTCCCAGTGGGGTCGTATCGCACCCAACCGTGCCAGCGGCCCCTCCCCGCCCCCCCCGTTCCTCCGGCCACTGCCCCGTCCCCGTCCCTCCGTCCCGCGGTGCCTCCCCCGTCCCCCCGTCCCTCCGTCCCGCGGTGCCTCTCACGTTTGTCGCTTTCTCAGCAGGCTCGTGATGAACTCCTTAGCCGCGTCGGACACGGCGTCGAACGCGTCGTCATCGAAATCGAACTCGGCGCGCGTGATGTTGGCGAACGTTTCGGCGTCGTTGTCGCCCATGAACGGGGAGAGACCCGACAGACTGAGGGAACAGGGCGGTCAGCAGACGGCGGGGAGAGACCCGAAAAACTGAGGGGAGAGGGCGGTCAGCAAACGGCGGGGGACAGCCTGATACCTCGGGACAATAAACAATGCCAGCGATACTAGCTGAACACAGAAACTACCCAACCCCCGTACACCCTGACTCCCTGCCTCATCAGAACACCCTGACTCCCTGTCTCATCAGAACACCCTGACTCCCTGTCTCATCAGAACACCCTGACTCCCTGTCTCATCAGAACACCCTGACTCCCTGTCTCATCAGAACACCCTGACTCCCTGTCTCATCAGAACACCCTGACTCCCTGTCTCATCAGAACACCCTGACTCCCTGTCTCATCAGAACACCCTGACTCCCTGTCTCATCAGAACACCCTGACTCCCTGTCTCATCAGAACACCCTGACTCATCAGAACACCCTGACTCATCAGAACACCCTGACTCCCTGTCTCATCAGAACACCCTGACTCCCTGACTCATCAGAACACCCTGACTCCCTGTCTCATCAGAACACCCTGACTCCCTGTCTCATCAGAACACCCTGACTCCCTGACTCATCAGAACAACCTGACTCCCTGTCTCATCAGAACACCCTGACTCCCTGTCTCATCAGAACACCCTGACTCCCTGACTCATCAGAACAACCTGACTCCCTGACTCATCAGAACACCCTGAGTCCCTCTCAGAACACCCTGACTCCCTCTCAGAGCACCGCAAGACCCCGCCTCTCGGAGCACCCCGACCAGTGCTGCGCCGCCGGACTGGCTGCTACTCACAGGATGTAGCAGATGACGCCCAGACTCCACATGTCGCTGCGCAGACTGATGGGCTCGAAGTTGATGATCTCGGGCGGGATGAACTCGGGAGTGCCGAGCATCACCCGGGTCGGCTCCGACTCGCAGTACTGGCGCGCCAGGCCAAAGTCGATTATCTTGATCATGTGAGACGACTTGGTGATGCACAGGATGTTCTCCGGCTGCGAGAGACGGGCAGCACAGGTTAGCAAGGCTCCGTGAATGGTGGGACTTTGGTGGCCAAGTGGAGCTCGGTCAGATTATGAGGATGCCAATTACTAGCACTGCAATGGGCCAGGGTGGCCTGGAGCGGTGGCGTGGCGCTCACAGAGCGCTGGCAGACCGGACGGGGCTCGATCCGAGCTCGGCCTACCTTCATGTCGAGATGCTCGGCCTACCTTCCTGTCGAGGTGCTCGGCCTACCTTCATATCGAGGTGCATGATGTTGTTGTCGTGCATGTAGCGCACCCCGCTACAGATCTGCTGCATGAAGAGCACACACTCGTGCTCTGTCAGCGTGAAGTCGTCGGCCACCACGCGCTCAAACAGCTCCCCGCCGGAGACGCTGTCGGAACACACAGTCAGGTAATGCACGGCGGGGAACAGCTACTCGGTGTCAGAGCAAGCATCAACAGTCACGGCGGGGAGCGGCCTCAGTCGGTACAGACAGTCGGATAACGTACGGCTTCACACACCGCCCGAACAGCCATAAACAGTACGGCCGGGAACGCAAAGCTGAATTAGCGCACCTACTCGGGAACTTAGCAGTTACTCCCTGACAGTAAGCCACGGTACTCAGCAACACTGCCTCACTCCCTGGCAGCAGCCCCCCCCCGCACAGACAGGACGGCGGAACTGCTCACCCGACCCCCCCCCCCCCTTCCCCCGGCGGCCGCGCCACGCCCGCCAGGCGGCGGCGGGCACTCACTATTCGAGCAGCATGATCATCTGCCGCCCGTGGTCGATGGCGGCGGCCAGCTGCAGCAGTTTCGGGTGGTCCAGCTGGTTCATGATGGCGATCTCCTCGCCCACCTTGGCCCGGTCCGCCAGCTTGATGCACTTGATGAACTTGGCCGCGAACCGGTTACCGGTGCTCCTCTCCACCACCTGGGGACGGGAAGGAGGGTGGGGCGTCAGCAGCCCGCGGGACAGGGGCGCGGAGCTCCGTCAGCAGCCCACGGGACAGGGGCGGGGAACTCCGTCAGCAGCCCGCGGGACAGGGCGGAGGGGGGAGGGTCAGCGGCCCACGGGACGGGCGGTGGACGGGACGAGGAACGTCCGCCGGCAGCGCGACAGGCGCGGGACAGCCCAAGCACGACGGTGGCGCTGCCGCAGCAGTCATGCTTAACAGAGCTCGAACCATTTTAAAATCCGGCAAACAGTGAAAATTTGTTAACGCTTGCCATTGCTTCTACTATTAATAAAACTGGCTGCCAGAACCATCATAGCAAATAATTACATAACATGACGAATTGAATGCATGACGAATTGAAGGTCAATTAGTCAGCCCAATGTTGACAGGCTGCTGCTGCAGATAGAAGTACAGTTACGCGGCGTCTTGTAGGGCCCCGGCGGCGTACCTTATGGACCATGCCGAATCGGCCCTTGCCCAGCTCCTCCTGGACGTCGTACAGCGCTCCGAAATCGACTCCCGACGTCAGGGTCACGTGCCGATGGGGGAACGGCGCCCCCACTGCGGACAGAGGGGTGGAGGGTCAGTGGAGAGAGGACGGGCGGGCCCGCCAGACGAGCTAACGATACAGCGCCGCGGCGGGAGCACGGCTGCTGATCTCAGGACCTGAGAGGCGCTGATCCGTCTCACTCGCACCGAATTTACACATTGTTAGCTTTGAACAACACACTTCTAATGAAACAAAACCTGGAAATCTGCGTTTTCACTTATTACGTTCGTCTGTCAGTCGTTGAGGTATGGGGTGATCGCTGCTGACTGTATGACAGCTGCTTACAGTATGGCGGCCGCTGACTGTATGACTGCTGCTAACTGTACGACAGCTGCTAACTGTACGACAGCTGCTTACAGTATGGCGGCCGCTGACTGTATGACAGCTGTTAACTGTACGACAGCTGCTAACAGTACGACCGCTGCTGACTGTACGACAGCTGCTGACTGTATGACCGCTGCTGACTGTATGACAGATGCTGACAGTATAACAGCTGCTGACAGCACGACAGCTGCTGACTGTATGACGGCCGCCGCCGCTCACCGTCCGTCTCGTCGTCCTCGTTGTCTCCCGGCCCGTCGGTGGGCCCGTCGGCCGGCCGGTCGGCGCTGAACGCCGGCGCCGCCGCCTCCAGCCCCGGCGCGCTGCACCCGTGCTTGTTGACGGCGCGCACGCGGAAGCAGGGCGCCTCGGCCAGCCCGTCGGCGTCGACGACCACCGAGGTGGAGCGGCAGTGGTCGACGAGCAGCCGCCAGCGGCGCGGCTCGTCGGCCGTCTCCACCTGGTACTCGGTCACCATGCTGCCGCCATCGAACGGCGGGCCGCACCAGGACAGCGTGATCGCCCTGCCGGTGATAGGACAGCGTGATCGCCCTGCCGGTGATAGGACAGCGTGATCGCCCTGCCGGTGATAGGACAGCGTGATCGACCTGCCGGTGATAGGACAGCGTGATCGCCCTGCGGGCCACAGGACTGGTCACTGCCGGCCACCGGACTCGTCACGACCCGTCACCGCGGGGGCAGCGGACACGTAACAGACACAAACACACAAGCAGCATTGACGCGTGGTCTGAGAAAAGTATACAAATTTCCTTATTTATTATTCTATTACACAACTGAAATTATTGGGGAGGGTTTTACAGTGCAAAAACAGTTCGCAGTGGACGGTTTATACCGTCAGATAATGGTTGCAAAGGCGCCTTAGCCATCGTCTGCGGCTCTCCACTCATGGTCAGCACTCAGCACCATTCCCAGCAGGGAGCCCCGTCTGACGGCGTCCGGCCACGCGGCGCGGCCGGCCGGGAGCCGGTCCGGCGCCACTCACTGCTGGCTGATGCGGCACACGTTGGGTACGCCGGACGGCGGCTCGGGCGGCCCCTCGACCGCCAGCGAGGCCCAGCACTCCTCCTGGCCGGCGCGCACCACATACTTGCCGCTGTCGTCGGCCGTCACCTGGCGCAGAGTCAGCACAGAGCCAGACGGGGTGGCCTCCACCGTCACCCGCTCCGACGGCTCCAGGCGGCGCCCCTGGCGGACAGAGACGGAACTAGTCACACGGCGCCCCTAGCGGACAGAAGAGGAACTAGTCACAGGGCGCCCCTGGCGGACAGGGACGGAACTAGTCACACGGAGCCCCTGGCGGGCAGGGACAGAACTAGTCACACGGCGCCCCTGGCGGGCAGGGACAGAACTAGTCACAGGGCGCCCCTAGCGGACAGAAGAGGAACTAGTCACCGGGCGCCCCTGGCGGACAGGGACGGAACTAGTCACACGGAGCCCCTGGCGGGCAGGGACGGAACTAGTCACACGGCTCTCCTGGCGGCCAGAGACGGAACTAGTCACAGGGCACCCCTGGCGGCCAGGGACGGAACTAGTCACAGGGCACCCCTGGCGGCCAGGGACGGAACTAGTCACAGGGCACCCCTGGCGGCCAGGGACGGAACTAGTCACAGGGCACCCCTGGCGGCCAGGGACGGAATTAGTCACAGGGCGCCCCTGGCGGCTAGGGACGGAACTAGTCACACGGCGCCCCTGGACGGAACCATGGTCACATGGCGCCCTGGCGGTCAGGCACAGCATAAGCGTTTGGAAACACGCAATCTAGGAAGCACACACGTGTCCTGGTGTCCAGTGTCTCGTAGATACCCGGGTCCGGAGGGTCTCCGGGAACCCTCCGGGGGCAGACGCTCGAGGTTCTGACCAGTCGCCCACGGAGCGCGTCGATATTAGGTGCGGGCAGCAGCTCAGACTCAACTACACAATACCGTAACCAGCCAAACATTAATATGTAGATCACAACGGACGATTATAAAGCGAGAGGAGCGAGGAGAGAAAGAGGAGAGCTGGAAAGTGGGGAGAGAAGAGAGTGAAGAGAGAGAATGGAAGGAGAGAGAGAGAGAGAGAGAGAGAGAGAGAGAGAGAGAGAGAGAGAGAGAGAGAGAGAGAGAGAGAGAGAGAGAGAGAGAGAGAGAGAGAGAGAGAGAGAGAGAGAGAGAGAGAGAGAGAGAGAGAGAGAGAGAGAGAGAAGGGAGCCAGGCAAAGAGGGGGATAGAGGAAGAGGTAGAGCGAGATAGATTCGGTTATGTATCTCTTTTCATATTTTCATCTAAGAGAATTAACCAATTGACCTGGGGAACTCCATTGGGACTCAATTGGTTTGGTGACTCTCAATTTTAGCAGCCTTCCTTCGGTTGGGCTTGATGGTTCCGACGCACCGACGCACCGACGCGGGGTACTTTCAAGAAAGCACGAGTTTCAATTGAACGAGCAAATGCATCTGCCTTGCAATCATCGATCAAAATATGTTTTTTTTTTCGCTTAATTGTAGACGACTTCCAAGGAAACGAGCGACAAAATTCACGCACAGTTCCAGGCGCGAATAGCGTACCTATGAGGAAGTCAGGTAGGTACGCGGCGCCAGTACAGGGTTGGGCAGATAAATTGGGACAAATTTTAACTTCCTCTAAAACGACTATTTTGTGAGTGATAAAGATAATTTTTGAAAATAAATATAGGCTAATGAATACGTTTCCATGTTATGCAGGTTGCGTTGCAATTTTGAGTCGGCTGGTCACAGAACGTGGGCTTAAGCAAGCCACTATCAACTTAGTCCGCGCGCACATGCGTGCCAATACTCTAATTATGCTCCATCAAATGGCTGAAAGTAGTGTGTATCGAACAGACGTAAACGTTGGAGGAAGAGATGATATTGACTCATCCTTACATACCAATTGCATTGACACCGGCCGCTCCCCCGGTTCTCCAGGGGGGGCTAAAAGGCAAAATTCAGTTAAATCAGAGGATCCTCGCGAAAACAGTGGCGCGAGCTTACAACGAAGGTAGCCGCGCCATGAGAAAGCGATATACCAGCACCTCAAACATGTACTCTTATGCATTGATGCATATCAACCTGTCAACATAGATGTTGAAGCAGCTGTGACGTTAAAAAAAATTGTTTCCTCTTGAAGGGCTTGGAGAGGCGAGCAAGCACGTGCAGGTCTTTTTCGACGACGGTATCCCCATAACCGAACATATGAACAACCGCAAACACCATGTAACATCGCAACCAGCCCAGAAGACGTGATCTTAGTTCCAAAAAGAATGCAGCAGACATCGGTGATGGTATTCCACTCGGTGACTTCCATGACGGTCACGTGGGGCCCCCTTATTTTACGGAACCGGGAGGGGGTTCGCCATTACAGGGTACCTAATAGAGATGCCACTTTTGAACCCGCGAACCCGCTTTCTGCGGGTTTTCAAAACCCGCAGGGTTTTTGGCGGGTTCGAGAAGCAAAACTTGTCGTGTGGCGGGTATTTGGCGGTCAGACTTTAGAACCTATAAATTTTATTTTATTTTATTAGATGTAAAACACAATGCCAAGTGCATTTGCTCAGGTTGACAATACAATATTCATCAAAACAACTTTTAAAACAGAACCAAATATAGAAATATATCAAGGAAGCACATTCCAAATGCAAAACTGAAAACAACCAGCAATAGCATCCACAGTCTAGCAATGACCAAACCAGGGTACAAGCAACAAACTACAAAGCAAAAATAAATGCTGATGAAAGCATTCCATAAAACATAAAAGAACCTGAGAGCAACCTTATAGGAAGCTGAACTGAAGTATATGTGCAGTGTGCATGCACTAGATATCAGGGCCTCGTCTAAGGAATTTTCACTGGGGGGGCCAGAGACTGAAGGAGCCAAACCTAGGGTACCCCCAAATCCTGTTTTCTCACCGGATTTAGACCACTTATTTTTCATCACAGCCCTGATACCATGAATTTTTTTTTTGAAAACTAAAAAAAAATAGTAGGCCATCCGACCCATGCTTGTATACCTATTAGTTTATAGCCCCCTCACATTGCCCCATCAGGCAATAATAATCACACTTCTCGTTGTTGAGCGTGTGATTGAGTGGCAGTGCCTTGTCTAAGGAATTTGCATGCCGAGCCTTATGTCGAGGGCCCACACACATATGTATTTTTTTGCGAACCACATCGGTTTCAGATGGGCCCCTCTGAGCGCTCGATGCCGATCTCTGAAGGCTAATGCCAACGTCTGGACCTATATTTCGGCCTCTATGGTAGCCCACACTGGTTTTATATGATCCATACCAGGCTTTAATGGTCAATCTGAGTGGAGACCGTATTTTCCAAGGCTATAGAACTATAGGTATTTTCCCACTAGGGCCCCCTCAGACCAGATGCCTGTGTATCAACTTGGAGACTGATGGCTTCTCAGGTGGATTCTCCGTAATCGCAGTGGATCTTCAACACAACCTTAAGGTCGTCAGAGGCTATAAACTAAACAAAAATGAAGATTACCCCGTGTAGTAGTGCTTTGAGGCCCGTTGGGACCCTAAGTGGCTGGCATTTGCCCCCCAGGACTCCATGCCGACTTCTTTAGATAATCCAGCTGTCAGAGTTCCCGTCCCCACAGACAGACCACCAATCTGGCATCTGCGCCTGCGTACGACCACCCAGAACGGGAGCCTGCTTCATTACGATTAGGAGCTACTCTAGCCGCACACCGGTGACCGTCCAGCCAGAAGTTGGACGCCGCTAGCGAGGACGACGATAGGCAAAAACAAGAGATTGACGCCCCGAGGGGCGAAGACAGAAACAACAGATTGATACCTAAAGGAGAAATTGTTGCCGGTAGAGCCTTGGACTCCGCGTGGTGAGGGCACGCGTCTCGGTTATAACAGTCCGGGTTCGAAGCGCGACATCGCTCGATCTTTATGACCCTCCTGGCGACTACATGGTTACCTACGGTTGGTGGCAGGCCGTAGCCATTCGAAGTCAGTGAGGGGACCGGCCGTGTGCGGCTATGTGCATACGTTAAACTTTGGGCTCTAAATTCTGCCATAGATCACGAATTGCGCGATCGGAGGGTAGAGGGCAGGGCCAACGCAAAGCTCTGCTTAGCGGGGGCTCTGTACTTGTGAATCCTTCCATTCAAAAGGTTCGGACTAAATTTATGAAAAAAGAATATCCGGGACACGGAGTTGGGCGCCTGAAAAGACGAAATGTAACGCATTGCTGAGCGAAAAAAAGGTTCAGGTAAACAAAATAAACACATAACAGCCCTAGGTAATGAGGTATTTCAATGTGCTCACATTGCATCGTTTCGTTTACGCATTTGTTTTTATGTGCACTGACGCCTCGAAATAAAAATTAGTTTGCCTTTTGGCTATTGCCGGCCCCCCCCCCCCAGTAGTGACTTTTTGCCCTGACTGGGGGGGCCAGGTCGATGACTGCGGGGGTTTAGCCCCCCCCCCCAGTTAACATGTTAGACGAGGCCTTGCTAGATATATATTATGGAAGAACCCAGACTCAAATGAGATGTTGAAAAACAGAGCAAATGCCACATGTTACTTTATCTGCGTCTGGTCCGCATAAAAAAGAGCTATCAGCTAAACAAAATTTGATGCAAATTCATTGATTGCCTATCCTCTTCTATGTTCTGTCCCACCCTATATTACGAAAATAACACACCAATTACCCTCACAAAAAATCAAAATATTGACTGGCATGCAGCCCCCAAACATAACGCAATACAATACTGACGCACTTCCGACATTCTGACAAGGATTGGCATTTGACTGCGTCAATTTTGGTCTGATGTGAAGGAAAGCTGTCATTGATGACGCAATAAAAGATTTACAATCAATTTTTCTGTCTTGGTTTTTGAATACCTCAAAATAGCAGTTATGCATGTTACAAAACCACGTAGCTGGTCGCATTTATTTCTTTTCTTTTTACGTCCTTATCATTTGTATGCCGATAAAGGATTACCGAGCATTACCAAGACCATCTATAAAGTATAAAATTATTACATTTAATTTAGTATTTACTGTCTCTTTATTTCTTAACCGGTGACTAACCTCTGAATTGTAAAACTTTAGCTGTTTTGTAAAATAATTTTATCAGAATGACACATGAATATGCATTATACAACGGTGTTTTCGCAACAAGTTCGCATTAACTACGGCTGCAATAATTTAGTCGCTGTAACA